GAGGGGGGCCGGGATGGGGTTGGCCGAGGGCGGAGCGCGCAGGGGCGGCCCGCAGCCCTGGTCCCGAGCATCCTGCTCTGGGTGACCCTGCCTGAGGAGGGGGCCGGACAAGGTGGCCTCCATGGCCCCTTCCACCCTCAGCCGTTCCGTGAGGGTGTCATAGGAAGAGCTGAAGCATTTAACAAAGGTGGGACCTATGCCACAACTCTGGAAGAAGGGTAGAATTGTTTTTAACGGCGTTTATTCACTTTCCACTTGTTCCTTTCTCTAACCAGTCTCCCGTAGCCCAAAGTACCCAGTCGACTTCTGGCCTCGGTGGCCTTCACGCAGACAAAGGCCTCTCAGCCACACACCAAGCAAACCACCATCTCCGCCTTCTTCAGCGCTCAGACAGGTAACGTGGAACAGCGTACACTTGCTAGGACAGTACCTTCAGGCTGCAATAGGAGACCCACCTCACTTTATTTATTGGCACCTTTACTAGACAGAAAAGTGCGTTTTCTAGTGAAGGGGAGGGGTAAAGGTTAAAGGTTTGAACACCCGGAAAGGATTTTACTGTGATGGTTGATCTAAACGCAGGCACCTTTTACAGTGTTCGACTAAAGCGTAAGTAACAGCGGTCACAGCTGGTCTTCACTGCAGAACAATCTGAGCTCTAAAGACCGCACCAGCCTTTACAGCCCACAGAACTGGAGTTTTCAGTGGGATGCTGTCACCCCGCCTGGCCTCCATTTGGTCCCTGGCTTCCTTAGGACATCTGTACTCTTTTTGTGCTGTGACAGGGCCACTGCTTTGGATTCGTTATTCCTGCTCCTTTTGAATCCCTTTTGTATACTTTCCTCTTTTTTTTTTTTTTCCCCGTTTGATTCCCTCGATCAATTGCGTTCACTTATTCGCTGTGTCTGTTTGGATTCATTGAATCCTGCTGCTGTTTAGCCAGAGGTCTTAGGATTTAAGGTGCTGGAGTATTTCTTAATTGTATTTTTTGTTTTTTCTTTTAGCGTAGCCTGAATTGCGGATGAGCTCTCTCATACTGAGAAGTTGTATTAGATTTTATATTAAAGGGTTTCAGAAGCAAATGTGGGACTCGATGCCTTCATCACCCGATGAATGCAAGCTGTAGAAGTTTCACTGTGGGTTTTTGTGGGTTGGTTCTTTTTTTTGGTAATTCTTGAGCTGTTGCTTTTAAAGGGAACGCCATAGGTGAACTGCCTGGGAGGCTGAGAGGAGGAAGGCAGAGAAGCCAAAGACTGGAGCAGCAGCTCTTGCATCTCACTGGAGGGACGCTGACTTGTTTGAACTACTCCAGGGTTTTAGGCTGCCATTCCCTCACAGCCTCAGCAGCACAAACACAGATTTTTTTTATGAGGCGGCGGCAGTGCTACTCTGGCGTAGAACAATCTCTGTGTTGGGACCTGAAGGAGCAGGAAAGTGGCAATTCTGAGGCAAACATCAAGGAACGTGCTGTGGGTAGTGACTAACACTGAGAAATGCGTGTGCCAGCTCTGGCTTTAACCAATTCTGTGGGTTTTTTCAGATGAAAAAGACAAAGAAAACTCCAGGCCATGTCCTTTCATCCTGAATAAAGGCTGTAAAGGAAAAGGTATTTCTTTGGCTGCTTCTCCTGTGAAGATCTTGGCTTTGCCCCAGATGGAGGGAGCCCAGAAACAATCCTTTGGAGCCGAGGAGAAGGTGCAGGTTACACCCCAGCGTCACGAACCAGCCACACCGACTCCTTTACCAGACTCGTTGTTAGAAGCAGAGTCCCGCAGCAAGAGTGAAGCCTCCTGTGGGGCGGGAGAGGAGTGCTGCTTCTTCAGCTTCACCCAGGACTCAGAGGGCAACCGGGTCATCGCTCACAGAAATGAGTCTGATTTATTCGCTAGAGAAACGGTTTCAGCAAGCGGCAGCGCAACTTCAGGCTGCGGGATGAACAAACGAGAGGGCCAGCCACTGCCAGAGGCGGCGAAGAGCGGGCTTGATCTCCAACCAAGACTCGGCACAAACCAGAATAAGAAACCACACCAGAGTCATGTTAATTCTTTAAGTGATTTCTCCGAGACTGAGAATATAAATCCTACTGTAACAAGAGACAGTACCTGGGCTGCTGGCTTTTATTCTTCTCCGCAGCGACCAGCGGGAGCACGGCCTCTGAGTGAGCGCGGCCGGAACATTGGTGCTGGTTCAGCCGGGGAGGGCTGGGGCAGTAAGCCGGGATGGAGCAGTCCCTGCAGGCAGCTCTTCACCCAGGATTCGGAGGGGAACTGTGTCATTGCTCACCGCTGCCGGAAGGTCCCAGCGCCTGGGCAGGACGACAGCAGCTCTCACAGGCAGCTGCCCGACTCTCCCTGCAAGGGCTGTTCCAGCGACGCTGCAAAGAGGAGCTCGAGCAAAGCGGGGGAGCAGCGGTTGGATGTGTGCTCTGATGTACTGTTCACGCAGGATTCGGAAGGGAACAGAGTGATTAAACACTGGTAAGTGACCTCACAGGGGTCACCTCTTGTGAGGCCTCAGGAAAGCCTTTTTTTTTTTTTGTAAGAAAGACAGCAGTCAGAATTAGGGAGGTGCACCCATTGTTTCTGTAAGCACGGTCTAGCCAGCATGTGCAGTAGACCCATGCAACAGGCAGGGCCTCTTTGTTCTCCGATATTTTGCTTTAATAAAAATAAAATGTTGAAGGAGTGTGTTTGCTTCAATCATGATTACAGCCTGTGTGACTAAGGCCTGGCTTTCGTGCCGCCTGCTTACCTAGCATGCTGCTGTTCAGCCTGAAAGAGCCTGCTGCTAACGCAGCTGCATTTCTTAGGAGCCTGGAAGTTGCGATTTAAGGGTTTTTCTAGGCTCAGCTCAGGAACCACATCACCTACTTCACCTTAGCTGCCTCGAGGAAGTACAAGGCTCCACTTATTTCAGGACTGCGGTTGTGCCAGCCCCCTCTACAGTGCCAAACTTCCCCAGGTTTCATGCGAGGAAGACTTGTGACAAAGCGGAGGAATGGTAACAGTGCTGGGTTAGTCTGGACTGTAAGCCTAACGTTGGACTCGTAGTTCTCTCACAGGCAGGGACGTACAGCCGCAGGTTGATGGTCTCAGTCTGGCCCTGGTGAGGTGAAAAGCGGCGCAGTGAGCGCTCTGGGCTGGAGTAAGAACCAGTCAGTGTTGGTTTAACTGCATCTGGCAGCTGCCCCGTCTCACTGCCAGCAGTGGTGCTTCTGTACACTGCTTGCACAGCATGTTCATAATCCCCTGCTGTTGGAAGCGTTGGGAGGGGTGTGCTTTAGATTGGATCTAATTTGAAGCGCAGGGAGCAGCCGCTCAAAACGCCCAGGGGGTCACAAGCAGGGAGTCCATCCAGGGCCATGATCGGGCTGCAGAACCACAGCCTGCTTTGTCAGCAGCAACCACTCTGATTTTACTTTTTTTTTTAAAAATATTGAGCACATCTCTAACACTGTCAGCGTTGCCATTTAAGCTTTCTTTACTTTCCACTTGGGCCAGAATTTCAGTACAACAGCTCCAGCTGGAGTTATGTTGTAGTCCAGAAGTTAACTGCGCTGCCAGGCTCTTGAATCCAGCCTGCACGTGGAGCACATGCCCAGGAACAGGGACTCTTTCTTGCTTACAGCTCCATCTTCTCCGCAGGCACGTGTATTCCCACCAAATCATTGCCCAGAGGAGCTTTACTGGGACAGGAGGAGAATGGCAGTGCCCTCGCTGTGCATCTGAGAGGGGGAGAGCTCAGCAACTCCCTCTAAAACCAATTAAGTCGTAAATGCTGTTTCTGCTCTTGCTCACTGGGTGGCCAGAGGCAATACACGCCTCTTCTCTTGCCTCTGAGGTAGGGATGGGGGGGTTGATTTTTCAAGGCCTGAGGGCCCAGTGGATTAAGAAAATCCTTGGCATCTGTGGCACCCCCAGCCACTTTAGCTGCAGCTGCCAAAATTCCACACGTGCCCCCCAAGAGACAAGCACCACTGCTGCCACAGTTGGACATCTGCATGTTAATAACGTCAAGGACAACCGTTCTCTTATTAAGGCTCCATTTTATATAAAGGAAAAAAAAAAAAACAACCCAAACCATACTTTAAATACAGCCGTGAGGAACATTGCAAAGAATGTGTAGCTGAAGGAAACCTCTTCAGTGAGAACTGTAGCCACAGACCATGCCAAGGTCCTTCTGTCCTTTCCTCAGATGACAGCTCTTGTGGTGGGGGCTGGGTTCTTAGCATTGGTGGTTCAATAAATAGACCTTCTGAATGCTAAATAAAATACAGTATCTGAATACAAGGACTATTAATGAAACATTAAATTACTGGCAAGAAATTAAGGCCATTCTGTCATGCAAGGTGGGGGGGGGGTAACTTGTGAGTTAAGAAATACCCGGGGTGTACTAAAACCCGCCAGCATCGCCCGGACATCACCGCGCGGTTCCATCACCGACTGCACTTTCATCCCGCCATCTG